TCTGAAACACAAAGCGAATGGCAACAAAAGCCAAAATTGTCAAATCAGGACATCTATTAAACTAAGAAGCTTCCGGCAGCAGCAAAAAGAAACTACCATCGAGCGTGAACAGGCACCTACAGAAATAGGAGAAAATTTTTGCAATCTATCATCTGACAAAGGGGCTAATATCAACCTATAAAAACTCAATCAAATTTACAGAAAAAACAATCCTTCAAAAAGTGGGCAAATGATGTATGAAAGCATTTCTCAAAAGAAGAATGCATACGCACACAGACCCCACATGAAAAAAATGCTCATCACTGGCCATCAGAAGAAATATGCAAATCAAAGCCACATGATACCTCTCACACCAGTTAGGAATGGCAATCATTAAAAAGTCAGAAATGAACAAAGTGCTTTGAGGACTTCAATATGAATTTCTTTGTCTTTCCGCCTAAAATCTGAGCTCAAATGACGGATGTTTTACACAATTCCTGCATTCACAGAGGGTTTTTGTATAGCTTCCTTCTTATTAAGGAAAAGAAGTCTTAGAAATTCCACAAGCTGCTGGCCTCAAATCTTATGTAGTTACAGAAATAACGGCATCTCCGAATTGCCCCTAGGTATATCATGTACCACACACAAACACAAAAACATATAACATACTGGAAAATGTTACAAAATTAAATACATTAGAGTGTAGTTACCTATTAGCTTAATACTGTTTGTTCAGTTTCTCTTTCTCCCCCTGGTACTTAAAGTGCACACAGATTAAACGCTGATTTGGCTCTTTTGTGCTTCAGTGGAAGTAGGGAAGCACTCTGGCTCACACACCAGCTTTATGGCATTTTTCTTGGTCTTTTCCATTACTTTTAAAAACTGATTTTGTGGAAGCATTCCTATTTCTCCACCTCTTCCAGCATCTGGTTTCCTGAATTTTTAGTGATCGCCATTCTAACTGGTGTGAGATGGTTATTCATTGTGGTTTTGATTTGCATTTCTCTACAAGACAGTAGTGATATGAGCTTTTTTTCATGTTTTGTGAGCCTGCATAAATGTCTTTTGAGAAGTGTTGTCCAGTATTCTTCACCCACTTTTGAGGTTTTTTTTTTTTGGTTGGTAGTTATAAACTGAAATACCTCAACATCTGTGTTTAAATCAATAGCTCCAATTCTGTTCTGCACAGACGCATATAAATTTTAGACTGGAATGGCAACTAAG